CACTGCTAGACTGTAAACATGGCCTAACTCACAAATTAATCCCTCTTAAACAGTTCATTAAAAGCTAGCTCAAAATGAGACTCGTTTTTACAAAAAAATGGTGTATATTATGAGTTACATAAATCGTACCATACAATGTTCTCTTTCAAAAGTCTCGTTAGAGTATTTAGAAATCAAAACCAACCAACTTAATAAGAGATTTTGGAGGTTTAAGCAACTATTCAAAATTGTCAGAGTAAGCACCTAAGTTGAATTTCCCTCTCCATACATTTGTGTAATTTAGAATATCGCTTCATCAAAAAATAAAAATAAAAAGTGTCAGGGTGGGCACATGAGTTCGATTTCCTCATCGTATATTTGAGTAGTTTATAGTATTACTTTGTCAAAAAATAAAAAGAAAAACAGTGGGAGTAGGTGGCACTACATCTTCTTTAGAGAAATAAAAACGAGAGATGGGAATAGTTTTCTATAAAAAAATCTAAGCCAGAAAGTTGGTAACTAGCTTAGTAACACTTTGGTAGTACACGTTTTTCCTTTCTTTTTTCCTTGACCTTTTGTGGGTATTGGACGCATTCAGCTCTTTCTTTGGGATTTCCTTGTTTTTTCTTCAATTTCTTTGGGCTCTCTGGTTTGATTCTTTTATGGCTTGTGCTATGATGATGAATCATGACAGCAAAATTTGGCTGAGCAAGATTATTTTAATAGCCATCTAAGTTATCTTCGGTTCAATTTATTATTGCAATTTGATAGTTAAATATTTTTATTGACTTAGATTCCAATTGAAACCGTGTGGGGTTTTCTTTGGTCAACACCACCACGCGGACACAGAGTTATCCATCTCTCTGTCCCTCTCTTCCATTTCCTTTCTTGCGTCCCCTACACTGCTTCCCATTATCTCTATTGTCTTTTTATGAATTATTTTTGGGTTTATGCTAAAATAAAAAATTTCAAAACATTTAATAATAGCCCCTTCCTATCACAGTGCTTCTTTGTTATCCCCACTAGTATATCTTTGTTGTCCCTGTATAGTGCCTATTTATTAAAAGTAAAAGCTCCTAATTTCAAGGAAGAAGGCAAGTATTTTCCTTCTTTTTCATCTATTCCTACAACTTTCGTATTGATTATTTTCAGTGTGTTTTTTTTTTGGTATGCAGACAGTCAATTTTTGGTTGGGTTGGTTCTTTTCCTGCCAATTCTCTGGCTTTGTGATTGTTTTGGTGGTCTGCTGAGCTTATTGTCCACAGTTGACGTTTGCTTTTCATTGATCTCTAGTTTGCTTTTTTGCTGGGTATTTTTCCTCCGTCTTTATTCTCTTTTGCTTAATACATTTTCAATTACCAAAAGAAAAATTTAAGCTAGCACTTTACCATCTTCTTTCTATGTTACTACTGAGTGTGTTCAAAGCCAGATTCTGAGGAACCGTCTTTTCCAATGGCCTTGAGCACCCAAAGAGCCTCTGCATCTCTTTCGGCTGAATCGGCTCCTCCTCGATGGAAACATGATGTTTTTCAGAGTTTCAGGGGTGCAGACACTCGCAGGGGTTTTATGTCTCATTTAGACGACGAACTGCGGTACCGGCAAACAATAAAAACTTTCAAGGACGACCGAGACCTTGAAATAGGAGCAACTATTTCTCCGGAGCTGTTGACCGCAATCGAAGAATCACATCTTGCCATCATTGTTCTCTCCCCAAATTACGCTTCTTCCACTTGGTGCTTGGATGAACTCTCAAAGATTCTTGAATGCATGGAAGACACCAAAAGAATTCTGCCAATCTTTTATGACGTGGATCCTTCCGATGTACGAAACCAAAAGGGGAGATTTGCGGAAGCCTTCACTAAGCATGAAGAAAGGTTTAGTGAAGAAGCAGAGAAGGTGAAACGGTGGAGAGCTGCTTTAAGAAAAGTTGCCAATCTCTCTGGCTTAGATTCAAAGAATTATAAGTAAGCATGCATGCATGAACAACTAATTTCTGGTCATTTTATTTTTCTTCTTTGTAGGTCGGAAGCAGAGCTTATCAAAGATATTGTCAAATGTGTGTGGAGGAAAGTGCATCCAACATTCATGTTGTCAGGTTCTCCAGAAAATTTAGTCGGAATTGATTTTGCACTTCAACAACTATGTTTGCAATTAGCTCCCGCAGAAAATGATGTTCGCTTTATAGGGATATGGGGGATGGGCGGGGTAGGCAAAACAACCCTTGCTAAGCTAGTTTTTGAGAAAATTTCCCATCATTTTGAACTTAGTTCGTTTCTATCTGATGTGAGAGAGGTTTCTACAAAACATGGTACACTAGTTGCTCTACAAAGACAACTTCTTTTCCCAATCTTGAAGGAAGAAGTCCGAGTTTGGGATGAAGAGTCTGGAATATTGTTCACTAAGAAATGTTTATGGAATAAAAAGGTTCTTCTCATCCTTGATGATGTGGATCAATTAAACCAGCTAGAAAAACTTGTTGGAGAGAAAAATTGGTTTGGTTTGGGGAGTAGAATTATCATCACAACTAGAAATGAACGTCTACTAGTTCAACATGATATAGCGATACGATATAAGGTCAATGTATTAAACAATGGACAAGCTCTTAAGCTCTTTAGTCGACATGCCTTTAAGAAAAATCAGCCTGCGGAAGGTTTTCTAAAACTGTCTCAGCGTATCCTACATTGTGCCAAAGGCCTTCCATTAGCTCTTAAAACTTTGGGGTCTTTTTTGTATACGAGGGATCAAGATGCATGGAATAGTGTGTTGCGTAATGTAGAGAAAATTCCTAATCCAACAGTTTTTCATTCACTCAAAGTAAGTTATGATGGACTAGAAGAGATGGAGAAGAAATTTTTTCTCCATGTTGCATGTTTCCATAAAGGGAAGGATAAAGAGAAAATAGTTGAAATACTAGACAGTATCTGGGACATTTCCAGTCTTATTGGGATGGATATTCTTATTGAGAAATCTCTCTTAACTATTAAAAAAAATCATGTTCGTAGTGACATTGTGGAGATGCATGATTTGATACAAGAAATGGCATGGGAAATTGTTCGTCAAGAGTCTGTCGATGAGCCTGGTAAACGCAGTTGTTTGTGGCATCCCAACAACATTTCTCCTGTATTCATGAACAATACGGTAGGAAACTTATGTTAAAATACTAAGTTTAGAAGATAATATATGTCATTTCTTTTAAACGATATTATAGACTTGAATGTGCGATTAACTTTTCGTTTTTCTTAATTATAGGGAACACCCGCAATTGAAGCCATAGTCTTATGTTTGCCGGAATCAGAAGTGGTACACTGGAATTGTAATAAAGCCTTCTCTAAGATGCCTGAATTGAGGCATCTTGAATTTGATAATGTGATCTTTTCTTCAGGCCCCAAAGTTCTTCCAAATTCGTTAAGAATTATTCGTTGGAGCTGGTATCTTTCCAAATCACTCACACCAAAATTTCACCCACGCTTCCTTGTTAAACTAGAGATGCCTCATAGCAAACTTGTCCGGCTTTGGGATGGAGCAAAGGTAAGAGTACAGAAATATGGCATTTTATAATTCTTTTTTTGTTTAGCTTGTATCATTCTTTTGATACTTATCATTCCTCAACTTTTATGCACCGTACAGGACTTCCCAAAGTTGAAATATATTGATCTTAGTTACTCTCATAAATTGGCCAGTACCCCAGATTTCACACGCGTTCCTATTCTTGAGGAATTGAATCTGAAAAGTTGTACGAATTTAATTGAGGTCCACGCGTCTATTGCAGTTCTCAAAAGGTTGAAACGTTTGGACCTTAGTGACTGTAAAAGTATCAAGAGTCTCCCAAGTAAAGTGGAAATGGATTCTCTTGAATATTTCAGTCTTTGTGGCTGCTCAAAAGTGAAAAAGCTTCCAGAATTTGAGGGACATATGAAAAATTCGTTCAAGCTCATTTTAAATGGTACTGCTGTTGAGCAAATACCTTCATCAATCGAAGGTTTGGTTGGCCTTGCTGTAGAGGGTATGAACAATCGCAGAAGTCTCTCAGGTCAAATAGTCTATATGCAAAGATCCTCAAAATTTGTCAAACTACCAGGGGAGATGGAGTGTTTAGAGGAGCTTGAATTAAGTGAAAGTGCTATGAGAGAGCTGCTTCTTGTTATGATAAGTGACAAATATCTATCCTTACATCGATCATCAACTTCAAGGGATGGCAGTGCATGGTTTAGAATTAGAAAGAGTCACCCTGATCCTGCACCTGAACCTTTGGGTTTGGTGCTGTCTTCTATGAATGGTTTATACTCTTTGACAAGTTTAGATCTAAGGGATTGTAATATTGGTGAAGGAGTCATTCCTGATTATATTGGCTGCTGCTTGTATTCTTTAGAACGTTTAATACTTAGTGGAAACAATTTCGTTAGCCTTCCCGCGAGCATTAGATTCCTTTCTAAGCTTAGGTCTCTTGACTTGAGCTTGTGCGAAAGGCTTCAGCAATTGCCAGATCTTCCGTCAAGTGAATACTTATTCGTAGGTGTGGACGACTGTACTTCCTTAAAAAGGTTGTCAGATCCATCAAAGTTGAGCGAAGGAGCCAATGTGTATGATTTTATGTTTAGTTGTCTTAATTGCTTCAGATTGGAAGAAGAAGGCTGGATTAATAGAATATTTGCAATCATAATGAGATTGGCTCCTGACTCTTACCCTAAGGTAGTCTCTCTCGTTGAATGAATACATACCATGATTTTCTTTTATTACTGTAATAAATAAATATAATGGCAATTCTTTTGGTACAGGGAATTGTATGGCCTGGAAGTGAAATTCCAGAGTGGTTCAGTAATCAAAGTGTGGGAGATTCAATAACTGTGGAGTTGCTTCTACCCCCACCTCCACAATCATCATGTAGCAGCGACTGGGCTGGGATTGCTTTATGTGTTGTTTTGGAAGATTCTGAATATTTGCGAAATCAAACCGCCCTTGTTGGATATGATTATTTCAAAATTCAATGTTTGCGGGATCCGTTGGCGACTTTTAGAGTCGGGCATCTTAGGTCACAACACCTTTGTGTTTTTTATTTGCCTCGCCATCATCGCAGCCTCAGGAAGGCCTTGAGCAGTCATCTGTTTTCATTCGAAGTACATTATTGTGCAAACAAATCTTCCAACAGACTCAAAACAAGCTCGAATGTAAAGGAATGTGGGGCCCGTTTGCTGTACGAGAGAGATTTGGAAGAATTCAGCGGAATACAAAAAATCCCAAAGCCCAATTGGAAATCATCACTTTATGCAGCACTTTATGCAGACAGGCCCAATTGGTGGTAGTGGACTGTAGACTGGGATTTTGAGCCAATCAGCAAAAGATTCAACAAAGTCTAAATTATTTTGTGCTTGGTTCAATCATTCAATGATGTCAGTCCGCAGAATTCATCTCAGTAAGTTACCTTTTCTTTCCAGTTTTCTTTTGATCTCTTTCTTTTGAGTGTATCATAATGCTGTGCTACCAAACTGTTGCTATAGTGAAATAATGTGTGGAAAATGTTAGTATTGTTCTGAGTCTTCTGACCAAAAGAAAAAAAGGGAAAATTGTTAATAATGGCGAAAGAATGTGTGTGAAAAATCTAGGAGAAAAGGATGAAAGAATAAGAGGCAGAGAGAATTGTAATTATTGTAAGTATATTTCCTCTGTTTCCACTATATTGAAATTAGTATTTCCTATTATATACAGCTTCTGTAGATTTCTCTAGAGCTAAGGTTATTTACAAGGAATATGGAGATATGGACAAGTGTAGGCTTGCTATTGAATCAGCCGTTTTCCTTAAGAGTTTCTAAAGGAATGTGAGTGAAGGAAATTTGCTGCTTGATTTTGATTGCTCATTGCTGCTTTACGATTATAGCTGCTTTTGGATTTTGCAGCAGGCATGTAAATTAGCATCTTCGCAGTTATTTAAATTTAATTCGATATAAAATCAGGAAAGGAAAGGAGAGGTGGTTAGTTCATAAGGGAAGAGAGAATAACAGAGAAGAAGGAGAGGCAAAAGGAACTGTGAGTTTTAGCTTTACAACAAAAATTAGCAGAAGTGGAGCAATTAACATAAAAATTAACAAAAATCAGCTTATTTTCATTCTAATTGCTTATGTTGTATCTTTTATAATGATTTTCCTTTCTTAATTTCGTTTCAGTTCTCTGGAAAAGAATTGGCAAAGCCAGAGTTGAAGTACTGGGAATACTATCCAAGTTCTGTGTAGCTGGTTGCTGTGTGAACTCTGATCACTTCTGAGGAGACCAACGACATTGTCGATTTTGAAGTCATTGATGCGTTGGGTCCAAGGGGTGTTCTCATTAGCATTGGAAGAGGCCTTCATGTTGATGAACCTGAGTGTGTGCACTGTGCATTGCTGGATGGTTTCTGCTGAAATGGTTAGTAACTTGGGTGGGAGATATCTTTTTCTGCTTAAATGGTTTCTTCTGTAGGTTCAAGTCCACATGTTGTATATGTTTGATACAGTTGGGAGGTATCCCAAAGTTGAGATTTTCTTTAACGTCAAGCTGTGATAATTAACTAAGCTACTTTAATTGTTTAATTTGCTCTCAAATTAACTAAGACTATCTATCTATCCTCGCAGTTGGGGAAAAAACTGTGCATGCTTTGACGATGGCATTCAACAAGTTTCAAATCGAGCGTAAGGTAATGTTTTATTTTTCATCTACAAGGTTGGAGGAGAGCTATTCTCTTATTACATTTTGGTAATATAGTTTTCCACCATTTGCAAAAGTAATAACACATGCACTTGTTTGCTTTCATCTGTATATGTCAGATTCACCCAAAAGAGATGCAAAGTTGTTGTATATGTCCGTAACCATGAGTTGGTCAATTCAGTTAATGATGAGGAAAAGCAAGCAATGTATTGATGGTGGCTACTATTTAAATTGCTGTGTCAGGTTTTATTGTTTTCAGAATGAACAGATAATGTACAAATGCTTGAGACTATGACAATCATGATATCTGAAAACAGATAAGTAAACTGCCTAAATGAAGCATTTAGAACATAATCTTATTAAGTAGTTTTGTCTGAAAATGATAGTTACTTTTACCAAGTCTCAATGCCGTGCAATCAAACTGTTGCTGTAGACTGTAGTGAAGTAATGTGTGGAAAATGTTAAATATAGTTCTCTCTTGACCAAAAGAAAAAAGGGGTAAATAATTAATAATGACAAAAGAATGTGTGTGAAAAATCTAGGAGGAAAGGATGAAAGAATAAGAGGCAGAGAGAATTGTAAACATTGTAAGTATATTTCCTCTGTTTCCACCATATTGAAATGAGTACAGTATTTCCTATAATATACAGCTTCTGTAGATCTCTCTAGACCCTACACTTGTCCATTTCTCCATATTACTTGTAACTAACCTTTAAAACACACGGGCTACTATTTACTAGGTGGGTTTTTTTTAATTTTTTGTCCTTGTCAATACTGGATGGTTTGTTAAACGTTACTACCATTGTACTGAACCAAACTTACGGTTAATCGATCCGATTGTATTGAAACCTTTGGCACAATTAACAGAAGAAAAATTGTTCTACCGAACACTTTGGTTAACAAAATAGCTCATTACCGTTCCAAACCGATCTACGCCCATGTGGTGATTGCATATTGCCACATTAAACTTCATCTATATTAATGTAATAGACTTAAATAAATAATATACAAATAAAATATTATTCGCATATGAATAATAAAAAAAAATTCGTGAATAATATACAAATAAAATAAAATAAAATATTATCTTGTCTAGCCAACTTGAAATGTATTGCATTAATTATAAAAGCAAAAGCGAAAGCAGAGCTTCTGCAACACGCTTTCTTTCCTCAACACTCTTTTTGTTACCATGGGAAAAAAGTTCAAATGGGTTGGAGCTCCAGCTATATCCGGCCCCCAACATGAGACCTCCCACAAGAGAAAGAGGAAGGCAGAAAGGAAGAGTCCAAGGCTCGCAGAAAAGGCGATTGAAAGAAGATAAGAAGAAAGAGCTTTTCGTGAAGAAGAGGCGTGCTAGTTTTGGGGGTAAGTAGAACGACGCCGTCCCAGATCTGGAGGATCAGGAGGCTGCGAAGGTCTCCTTGGAAGAGCAAATGCAATTGAATGCCGATGATCTCAATTCTGGTGGTTTTTCTTTATAGAAATTTAGTGAAATACCCATTCCTAGACATATAACTATAAATATACCCTATACTATTTAATACATATAAACACACCCAAAATAAACCCAAAAATTAACAGCTGTCGATTTTTTAAATTTAATAGCAATGTTGGATTATTGTTTTGCCCTTTTGCCCAAAATAAATCCAGCTTCAAGGCTCAATTAAGATAATCGACGATTGCTCCTTCAAAATCTTGGAGCTGGTCTGTGAGACTCAAAATCTTGGAGCTGGTATGTGAGAAATCGACGAGCGCTCGATTTCACTAACTTCACCGTTGGAGCCGCAGTTCTAATTTTCATTGCTTTCTGGATCTCTCACTCGCTTTCTCACAGATCTTGCAGCTATTTCCAGATCTCATAGCTCAATCTCTCGCATCTCAGTCACAGGCAAGGTCGTTTTACAACTCAGGCGGTGGACTCGGGTCCTTATCCATGAGGCCGACTCTTTCCTCCACTGACAATGATGCTTTGGGGAGGCCTTTTCTCCGTTTGGTGAGATCATCGAATCGAAGATCATCAACGACCTTGAGACCGAGAGGTCCAGGGGCTTTGGCTTCGTCACCTTCAACAATAAAAAGGCCATGAGGGACGCGATCGAAGGAATAAACAGCCAGAACCTCGACGGCTGTAGCATCACCGTCAACGAGGCCCAGTCTCATGGAAGCGGCGGCGGTGGTGGCGCTAACGGAGGTTACAGCTGCGAAGGATATGGTGGCGTTGGCTACGGAGGTGGCGGTCATCGTGAAGGCGGTGGGGATAGTGTCTCGATGATGATTCGGTTTAGGCCACTTAGGTAATTTGTATTGATATTCATTTAAGTTTTGAATTGTGATTTTAATTTCTTTTTGTTTATAATTTGGATTGATTTCAGATTCGGTTTGGTTGTGAATTTGATCTTGTGTTTTGCTTTGAGCTGTGGTTAAAAATCTGTGATATTGCTCTTCTGTCTCAATCTGTGATATTGGTTTGAGTTGTGGTAATTTTATCTATCTAACTGGTTGTCTTGATCTAGAAACTTTGCTTGAGAACATTCTTTGTTGGATATTGCAGGCTTTGCAAAACTTTTTTGCTTCCTTGGTGTATTCTGCAAACGCAAGTTTTGATACCTTACTAGACTCTCTGCTATCAAGTGCTAAACCATCTCCCCAGTCAGGTGGAGTTGCAAAACAAGCTTTGTATTCAATAGCTCAATATGTGTGGTTGTCCTTTGCCTTACTGCTGGTGATCAGCAATGTTCATCTACCGTGACATGCTAACTGAAATTCTCAAAGATGACAGCGGTACAAATTCAGTAAGTCCCCCCTCTCGAAAGAAAACAACTCAGTTAGGGTTATCTTCACAGATGACAATGTTTTGGTTTTTGTAAGCAAATAGGGATAGACTAATTAACTTTTCACGATTTATTATTATTTGGTAATTTCGTGGTAGGCAAACTCTCGTTATAAATTTGGGGTAGATTGATTGAATCTAGTTGATTTATTGTTTTTTATTTATTATTATATAACTTTTATTTGAGCCCAGTATAATTGCTTTCTTCATATGATATGGGCTAAGCAGCACCTTGCTTTGCTGTGTCTCGGGGAGATTGGAAGGAGGAAATATCTAAGCTCCCATTACCATATAGAGAATGTTGTCATTGAGTCCTTTCAATCTCCTTTTGAAGAGATCAAATCTGTAGCCTCCTACGCTCTTGGCAATATTGTTGTTGATAACCTGCTCAAGTATTTGCATTTTATTTTGGACCAGATTGACAATCAACAGAAAAAGCAGAATCTCTTGCTTCATTCTCTGAAGGAGGTGCATTCTTCTGAACTTTAAGGGCCTGATTTTGTTTCCTGAAATGTTTTTCAGGTCGTAGTAGCTGAATGTTGAGAAGATAAAGCAGAGTTTCCGGATTCGAGTGTTGAGAAGATACTTAATTTACTTTTTAATCACTGTGAAAGCGAGGAAGAGGGTGTTCGCAATGTAACAGCTGAATGTCTAGGACATAGTATTAACAGTGTACTTCTATGACATAATATTAACAACAAAGCATGCTCTATATTTTGCTCTATATATAGCTGTGCACTTGAAGTTTATGATATGCAGAATATGATTTTTACTAGGAAGATAGTTCTATGACATAGTATTAACAGTGTACTTCTATGATATAGTATTAACAGTGTACTTCTATGACGTAGTATTAACAGTGTACCTTTTTTTTTCTTCTTGTAGAGGTATTTCCTTTTGCCTTTGCGATTGTTTCTGGTGAAACTATGGACAATTGGAGGTGGTTTCTGCAAAGGATATCGGATGTCTTGCTGGGTTTTTTTTTGAGTGTTTTGTATGAAATGGTATTAACAATGTACTTCTATGACATGGTATTAACAATGTACTTCTATGATATTGGTATTAACAATGTACTTCTATGACATTGGTATTAACAATGTACTTCGGGCTTTTTTGGATGTTTTTTAAAATTTTTTGTATGAAATGGTATTAACAATGTACTTCTATGACATGGTATTAACAATGTACTTCTATGATATTGGTATTAACAATGTACTTCGGGCTTTTTTGGATGTTTTTTAAATTTTTTTGTATGAAATAGTATTAACAATGTACTTCTATGACATGGTATTAACAATGTACTTCTATGATATTGGTATTAACAATGTACTTCGGGCTTGCTGGGCTTATTTTGGGTTTTTTTTTAGTTTTTTGTGTTGGGCTTGTTTTAAGTTTATCAATGGCAGTAATGTAATTTATAGGAACTTCAACACTCATTTTTTATGATAGTAAATGGATTTTGGGTGTGTTTCTAAAGTGCATTTCATATGGGGTTTTTTTATAATTTCAACTCCTATTTTGGGTATATTAGTGAAGCTCCCTTTTCTTTACTCGATTTTCTGCTGATTTCACTTTTATTTACGTTTTCTTAAATTTATTTCTTACTCCTCAAATTTAGGATGATATAAAATTTCTAATTTTTAGGAGTAAGAAATAATTTTAAGAAAACGTAAATAAAGGTGAAATCAACAGAAAATCGAGTAAAGAAGAACCAAGGAATTACTCTTCACATAATATTCCTAAATTTGAGGAGTAAGAAATAAATTTGAGGAATTATCCAGTTTTAGCATACATATAACTAAGACAACTAAAAAACTAAATATGAAGAATACTAAAACACTCAATCCAAACAGACTTATTCATTACCTTCAACCATATTTTCCAAGAAACAAATTTCATAGCGGATGCGTTGGCAGCCATTGGTCATCAGATTCCCTCTCGGCATGTTTGGCTGGATCAGCTGCCAGTTGGGATTCCTTAGTTGTTGGTTGCCCTTGTGGCTTTGTGTTGTAATTTTCCTTTTCTTATCGAAAAAAAAAAAAAAAAAGGCTTATGTTTTGGAATAAGTCGATTGCATTATGTTGTGTAATGGATGGTTTACTTGCAGCTTTACCATTTGACTCGCCTTAAGAGAAATATATCACACAAAAATAAATACCAAATTAAATGGAACCCAAGAAACTGTGAAGCTAATTTCTAGATATTTTTTTACCAAATTTCATACAACAATCCTCCACTTAAACTGACTGTTTACAACAATGCTAGGAATTTGTATGCAGACTACATATGCAATATTTGGCTAATCGATTTCACCAGTAGCCATATAACTAAATAAACTACGTCTAAAACCAAATGGGTATTCTTCAAGAATAAAACCAACCTTCTTGAAGCAGACCCATCTAAGTTATAATATGCAGTGGAAAAGAGAATAAAAAGAACCCCCAAGCATCCCAGTACCCTTACATGGAAACAAAATGCATAATTCAGAATTCTATAAAAGAAATTGTCTCACTAAATTTAACAAAAATAAAAAAACAGTGAATTTAAGGCTGAGATGTAATCGATTTATTGAAGAAAAAATAAATTAGGATGAGAGATCGATTGATAAACCTCTTTGCTAGACCAAATGCAGAACCCTACTTCATTTTTTCTTGTAGCACCTTCAAAGTCAGTCAACATTCTTTGTTGTTCTACAAAAGATATTTACGAACACAGAACGTTATAGAACACCTTTTTTTAAGAAAAAAAAAAAAAAAAAAAGACTAAACTTTATTGTGACTGAGCCAAACGGCTACAGAGAACCAAGAGTGGCCAAGCGAGCCACCAGAAACACATACAAAAGAAAGAAAAGAGAAACAAAAGACTAGAACAGCAACATTACAATATCACAGCATAACATCATAGAACACCTTTATTGTAAATTTCTTCAACACAAAAAATCCAGAACCAAAAAATTTGACGAAATTCTATTAAAGAAAAAAAAACTGAATAAAGAGAGGGAGAGAGAACAATGTATACCGCAACTTCCGTACATATACGCTGGCTCTGTCCCACAACAGCAGCAAGGGCAACGGCAAGCCTTTGTTCACGCACAAACAGTCACATCCCATTACCAATTCCAAAGCCTGTTCAATCCCATCACCTGGGAGAAATATAATCAAAATTAAAAAAGGGGAAAGAAATTGAAATATAGTGGAGGCAATTAAAAGATGCAAACCTTGTTTCTATGTCAAAGTCCACGAATAGATGTAATTGCGCCATTTTGTTGTTATAGTCCTGCAATGCACACAGTCATCAGCTTCACCCAAGCAGCTCTGAGAGCCAATTCAAATCCACCATGAACCAATCCATAAGCTCAAACATAAAATCCAATCAGATGACAAACCATTGTTGATGTATAACCCTTTGAGCTGAAGTCCCTGGCGCCAAAGCTTTATTTTCAGTTTGAATTTTATTCTTTTAGTTTAAATGCTATTTCTGCTGGTTGTAATATGGACCGTTGGATCATAGTCCAAGTGGCTTCTTAAGTGTTGTGTTAGATTGTGACAGATGTAATCATCTCATAGGATGATAGTTTTAACGGCTAGGATCAAATCTTGTGTAAAGGCAGTTAGAGAAGAATCTCTCTTCTCTCTCTCCTCAACAGATATATTTTGCTTAGTGAAATAGAATGAACAGTACACACTCTTCAGTTTCTAAATTCAGAGCAACGTTCTCTCTCTTTTTCTCATCTAAGTTTGTTTTCCTTTCTCCCAAACAGATCCAAAATACAAATATAAGTTACAGAAACTATGAATTCTATCATGGTATCATAGAGCCAGGTTCGATTGTTTGAGCTGGGCGTGATCTGTGAACAGTAAATCGAGCTCGATCTGAGCTATCGTTGAGCTGATTTGAAGATCGAAGTGGCGAGTTCTTGCATCCAGGTGTCTCATATGGCAGGATCGGGACCAGCTGAGCTTCGAACACCAGTTTTCAATGGAGAAAACTACGAATTCTGGAGTATTCGAATGAAGACTATTCTGAAATCGCATGGTCTGTGGGATCTGGTCGAGAATGGGTTAAATGACTCAGATCTGAAGAAGAAGAAAGAGGAGGCTGTAGACACTGAGAAGTCCATGGTGGCTCAGACTCTGATGAAGGATGCTCGTGCACTTGGATTGATCCAAAGTGCAGTTTCAGATCAGCTATTCCCAAGGATTGTGAATGAGGAGACCTCGAAGGGAGCTTGGGATATTCTGAAGCTGGAATTCAGAGGAGATAAACAGGTACGAAATGTCAAATTGCAAGGGTTGCGTAGGGAATTTGAATATACTCGCATGAAGGATAGTGAATCTCTATCTGTCTATCTTGTTAGATTGTTTAATATGTTGAATCAAATGAAGAGTTATGGTGAAGAGCTATCTAGGGAGAGAATTGTGCAGAAACTATTGTTTAGTCTGCCAAAGTCATATGATTCTATATGCTCTGTGATAGAACACTCTAAGGATCTTGAAACTCTGGAAGTTCAAGAAGTGGTTGCTTCTTTGAAGAGTTTTGAGCTCAGATTGGATAGGCACACTGAGAACTCTTCAGAGAGGGCTTTTGCTAGTCTGAATATTGAAGAAAATAGCCTAAGAATGAAGGTTTTTCTGGAAATCAGAGTTTTCAGAAAAGTTTTCCTGGAAATCAAAGTTTTCAGAAAAATTGGAAGCCTAATGATGAAAACATAGCAGCTTGTAAACATTGTGATAGGTTACATTATGGCAAATGCTGGTATGAAGGCAAGCCTAAATGTCATGGATGTGGAAAATTTGGACATATGATCCGAGACTGCAATGGAAATAAGAATGCACATAGGGTGAATTATGCAAATGAGATGGAAGAAACTGGTACTTTGTTCTATGTCTGTAATGCTGCAACTGATGTAAAGGTTAATCACTCTTGGTATATTGACAGTGGTTGTAGTAACCACATGACAGGAGATGAGGGACTCTTAGTGAATATTCAAAGGGATTTGACCTCTAAGGTGAAGATGGGAACTGGAGAAGTGGTTCCAGTTTCTGGAAAAGGAACTTTGGTAATAAAAACCAAGTTGGGTAAGAAGCACATTTATGAAGTAATGCTTGTGCCTGGTCTTGAAGAAAACTTGCTTAGTATTGGGCAAATGATGGAACATGGCTATCACCTTGTGTTTGGAGGAAATATGGTGAGTGTTTATGATAATCAGTCACTAGAAAACTTGATTGTGAAGGTGCAAATGACAAACAACAGATGCTTTCCATTGACAATGATGCCTGCGAGTGAGTTGGTCCTAAAAGCAAGTGTCACATATTGCTTGCAGACATGGCATAAGAGGCTGGGACATTTAAATGAGAGAAGTATAAAACTGCTTGAGAATCAAGGGATGGTTCATGGCTTACCTCACTTGGAGCAGATGTCAGTTGTATGTGATGGTTGTATGCTTGGAAAACAGCATAGGGATTCTTTCCCTTTGGAATCCACTTGGAGAGCTTCAAACCCTTTGGAATTGGTTCACACAGACATCTGTGGACCAATGAAGACAGAATCACTATCTGGAAACAGGTATTTTCTGCTGTTTACAGATGACTATACTAGAATGTCTTGGGTGTATTTCATTAGAAACAAATCAAGTGCATTGGAGTGTTTTATGAAATTCAAGGCTATGACTGAGCTGCAAAGTGGGTTCAAGATAAAGAGTTTGAGAAGTGACAGGGGTGGAGAATTCTTGTCAGGAGAATTTAACAGGTTTTGTGAAGAATCTGGCATTCAAAGGCAATTAACAGTGGCATACTCCCCTCAGCA